TGTAGGATATCTTTCCCATTGGTTTCAATCATCACTATAATTTATCAACCTCAAGAAAGGAATAAGGGCCTGAAAGCAATGGATGACAGATTTTTTATAAATTATCAAATTGGTAAAATAGTCAATCTTAGTTTGTCTCCTGCTGCCCCTTGAATAAAATAGGCTTTTCTTAATGCTGTAGTAAGAGAAGGATCTATTTTTTTCTGCCCTACTTTTTATACTAGTAGAACTAAACTATAGTTCTTGCCCAAGTACTTGAAGTAAAGAAATCCTGAAACTGAACACAACTTCTGAGGTCTAGCATAGCCCTCACTTATGAGGGCATTTGGACCCGTAGCTCTGTTGCTAAATGGTATAGTAATAAAGTAAAATGTCACATAAATGCTGCTGCATCCATTGTAAATTTATGCCAAACACACAAATCACAACTATGTGACTTATGTGAGCACAGGGATGCAGTGATGGCCTCAAATTGGATTTGATTCAAATTCTTCTTTTGCACCTCCAGTGTAACTTTGAACAGTCTATATTAATAGTCAGTAAGCAAGGATTACATGCTTTTGAACACATCCATGCAACTTTCTTGGTAGTTGTAGGGATGGACTTTGCCATTGTTTCTTATGGATTTGATTTCATTTGACTTTCCACTCCAGGCTATAATCCTGAGACTCCCTGGTGGTTCCCCCAAAAAATTCTCACAAAGCCTGGCCTTGATCGTTTTTTGTATCCAGACAAAGGTCTGCCAGGTGCTGCAGTCTGCATTCAAATCATTTAAATGTATGGAATTGTATGTTAGAATTCTGTTTCACAGTTGTATATGTGCCTATAGAATATGAATCTTGCCCAACAAACTCCTTTTTTAAGGAGCAGTATAGTAGCTCTTGAGGTATGTTCATCCATATTAATAGAACTATTTTTTCTGCATTGAATGCAATGATAGGGAATGTACTTCAATGCATGTGGTGGGTACTCAGTTTGGAAGGGCTGGTCCCGGATTCACTGTTTCCTGAAATTCAAGAACTTTGTGAATAATTTTCTCAAGTTCTTAATGCATAATATCAAGTAGAAAACATAATGGATATCAGTGGCAGTTGTGCTAATTCAGGGGAAAGCAAACATCTGGGTTAGGGGGCCACAACGCATGAGTTGGTGGGCTGCAGGAGATCTTCCAGTGGCATCATTGGAAAGTGTGGGATTCAAAAAATTGGCCCATTTGTTCATAATTTAGAGGTTTTTACAAGTGGAAATAGAAACAACTCCTCCTCCTGCTTTTATTTTAACCTCTTTTTAAAGTTGTACAAATTCATCGGTTATTTTGCAGAATTTCAGTATCCTGATATTGATTCAAGGGCCAATGGGGAAATGCATGTGGCCAACAGTCAGTGGGTTGAGCATCTCTCCTAGTGTATTATAAAACAGATCTTTTCTACTGTAATTTTGTAAATAACAGGTTGCTTTGTATCTTTTGTCTGTTATGTGACAAAACTTTTAATGAAGAGCTGCTGTCATGACTATTATTATTGGAGAGAACCCAAACCATTTTTTACTTCCTTTGCTGTCTTTGTTTGTTTTTTTCTTTTCAGAAATAGGGTCTGCCAACTCCAGCAGAATGTGTGACTTAAACAGGTGTTTTGAATTTCCACAGGGTTTTTAGGTGAAGGACTGTAAAAGTCAGCACTGTGTACAGAAGTGTTCTTATGCTAGTTAAAATCCTCACCTATTTTCACACTCTGACATTTCTTCCTACTTTCTAAATCCAATGAACAGATTACCAACAGAAGATGTACGATAGCACTTTATTATTTATTTAGTTATTTAGTTAATTTCTATATTACTCATCTCACCGAGGCAACTCTAGGCAGCTTACAGTCTTTCAATAAAATACCATGTAAAATAATAAAAGATCATAAATTTAAATTTCAGATTGAAATCCTGAGATTCCATTTTACTTGACTTTGGATCTTCCATTTTCCTGGCTTACCAGTTTTTGTTTCTCTCTGGAGAAATTTTCCTAATATAGCAATCAAAATACCTCAGATTGCTAGAAATGCCTTCTTTAACCTTAGTAGAAAGCGGAGTTGCTTTCTTACTTGCTTTTACTGTATTACTCATTTTTAAAATTATATCAGTTCATGATTCTGGGATGACTTCATGTTCTAGATCACTTGGTCCATTAAACCTAAATTAATAATACAATGGCAAGAACATCTCCATATCAAAGTTTTTCTTGACTGTGCCAGTAGTATAGGAGCTTCTAGAAAGCCACAAAACTTTGTGGTTATTGATTAATTGTTGAACTCCACATACTGTATGTTTTTATCTATACTGTAATCGCATAGAAAGGATATTGCACACTTTAGTTTTGTGGCAGGCAAAAACTTTTCAAATGAGATTTTAACACTAATGATAGGAAAAAGAGGAACAAGCTGTGCAACAACTTTGAAAATTGACGTGGCAATGATTTAGATTCTGTGGCTGAATAATCTGTTCTGGCTTTTAGTGTGGGTATAATGATTAATTCTTTTTGTTGCAATTTTTTGTTAATATTGTATTAAAAGAGTTCAGACAGATTGGGATACTCAAACAGACTAATTGTTTTAAAACAAATTAATTAGTCAACAATCCTGATCAAACATTGCAGTATTTGGTAGTGATGCAGAAATCTGTAAAACCAAGAAATTGTTTATTACATGCATTTCTTTATCTTACCATAATTATATCAGGCTGGTATATATGCAATATATATTACTGCAGAAGAGTTATGGCTTCAAGTGTATTTTATTCTAATTAAATTAGAATTAGTAGTAAGGTCTAGTGTACTAGGAAGAAATATCTTTTTCTGTATGGTTACTGAATAAGCAATTAACTTATTTATATCCCAATAAAAACTACAATTTCCACTCATACTAAAATGTGATTAAACCTCTCTGTATTCAAATTCAAATTTTGGTTTACTCTTATTCTTAGTTTCTGTGCAAGTTGTTGTGTATAATCTTGAGTGACAGTTACTAATGACAAGAAATCGAACCTATAACTTCATGTTTAAACTTCTGATTGGGCAATTCAGTCTGTCTGCTAGTAAGTATTGCTGAATTCCAGCATTGTGCTGAGTGTTGAAGGTTGGTTGCAATGTGACTAACTGCTAAGATTTCCTGTGGGCCTTTTCACACCCATTGCTGAAAAAGCAGGTGGTTTGAAGTGAGGGTTCCCTCTGGGGTTTCACACTCTATGCACAACACGCAGAAGTGAAAGACAACCATCCGTTCTGTCCATCCCGAGTTCCCCGTTTAACAATGGGAGAACAGGGAGGGGGCAGAGAAGTTGAACACAGATGGATATGTTGGAAATCTGTCAATATATTTATGAAGGAAATGCTGCAGAAGTGTCCCAGATTGCTTGGGAAGTAATTAAATGAGACAGACAACTATTTGTTTATTGAACAAATAATGGGTGGCTGTATTGTTTAAGCAGATAAGGAGTATACATTTTGATAGGCAACATTATAAGAATATTTCTTGCAGCAGGTTAGTTAACACAATGGATTTGGCATGCTCAAAATAGCTATAAGTATTAGGTCCTTTTGTCATTTTAGAAAAATGTTTCAATTAAATTCTTCACAGTTTTAATATAATTCTAGATTCCTTTATTTTATTGTAAGTATAAAAATACCAATCTTCTCTTCTTTGTTTTGTAAAGGATGCTTTACACATAAATACTCCTTTGCCAGCATGTTATGGCTCTTCATAGCCATCTGCAAGTAGCTCCCTCCTTTATTCTACCTCAACATCTATAATATAATATTGATTTGAGAATGTTCAGAATTAACATTATTGTTAGTAGCCTGGATCCATGGAATCATTGCTAATCTCTACTGTTTTTAGTCATTTATTTCCATTCATTTATGATGTTTTCCTATTTGGTAATAGAAGGAAATAGATTACTGTTTTTTAAACTCTTTTGAACTCATTGGGACATTTTTTATTAACAGACTTATATATGATTATGTTGTTAAGAACCTTGCACATTATGTCTATAAACTAAAATGATGGATTTTTTGGATGCTATTGAAATATATCTAACTGCAGACTAATTTCAGGCATTCATTTCTATAAGGTGAATTCTAATAATTTTCATTATTTATTTATTTATTTATTTATTTATGAGACTTATATACCACTTTAAGTGCAAGCACTCTCTAAGCGGTGTACACCAGTAAGCAATGTATATATATATTTACATTGCCCCCAACAATCTGGGTCCTCATTTTACCTACCCCGGAAGGATGGAAGGCTGAGTCAACCTTGAGCCGGTGAGATTTGAACCGCTGACCTGCTGAACACAGTCAGCTAAAGTGGCCTGCAGTACTGCACCCTAACTGCTGCGCCACCTCGGCTCATGTTCATCAAGTTGGTCTGCCTATATATTCCATTAGCTAAGAAATTTCTATGACTAGTGGATTCTCAGCTGATCAAGGGAGTGGACTAGATGAGCTTCAATGGCCCTTCCAGTTTTACATTCTGTACTGTGTTGGACTTTAACCAATTAGTTGCATTTAATCTGTCTGCCTTTGTTATTCTCTCCCTCTCCCCCCTTTCCCTCCCTTCCTCCTCCTCCTCCTCCTCCTCCTCCTCCTCCTCCTCCTCCTCCTCCTCCTCCTTCTTCTTCTCTCTCTCTCTCTCTCTCTCTCTCTCTCTCTCTCTCTCTCTCTCTCTCTCTCTCTCTCTCTCTCTCTCTCATATATATACACACACACACAAAATCACACTGGCTTGGAGATCAGATTCTTCAAAGTCAGTTGTTATGTAAGGATTACTGAGATATAATGTATAAAAGTGTTTTAAACTCTCTGAAGCACTGTATAAAAGATTAGTATGATTCAAATTTGCTTTTTCCTCTCTGCCCTACTTTTGTATTTTTTGCCAACACTCACCAGAATATCAACTTCAGGCAGAGTTTTTTTTACTGTATTCTTGTTTTTTTTTTCATATATCCAAATTTAGTTGCTGGTGAGAAGAGAGTATCAGTAATGCCAGGATCCCCTGTGGAAGTCAAGATACAGTCAAGATCTTCTCCATCCAGTATGCCACCTTTACCACCTGTCAACCCCAGTGGCCCCCGGCCTGCTTCATTTACCCCAGCAGCATGTAAGAAAGTTAAAATTTGTATTTGAGCCTATTATTCTTGAGTGTCTTTTTTGTTTTTCTATATGAAAATAAAATATTTTAAGAAACTTACTACAGGCCTTTTTGTTTTAATGCCAACAACTGTCAAATGTCAAAAATTAAGATGATGGATGCAGTGTTGTGATCCATGCTCCCCCCCACCCTGTGTGTATGACTACAGATGTTGACCTCTCTCATCTCAAGTCCAGAGGTTGGAAAGAGCTTTTTGAAATACAGTTGTCTTTTTATTTTTAACCAAAAATGTGTAGAAACATTTTTCTTCAGCGGGATAACTTTTGGAAAAGATTTGTGTGATTTTGTCATATCCATTGCCTGGAGAAAGGGACAGTAAGAAGATCAATGTTTTTCTACCAGTGACATCCACATATGAGATATTTCATCATTTTTGGAGGACAGAACTCATAATTATCAAATAATAAGATTCCCCAAACTAAGTAAAATAACTTTTTTATGTGTTTAATTTTAAACTAAATGAACATTGGTTCATTTAATCTGGCATTGCTAATTCTAAGTATAGTCTCCTGATTGTTCAGAAGACTCCTTCTAGCCTTCTGAATGTTCACAAGAATGGCATCCACTCTTGCAATGTTTTGAAAGCCTTCTTCTAAACAATTGTGACAACAGCACCTTCTGAGAAGAAAACTTTAGAAGCACTGCAAGAGCAGATGCCATTCTGGGGATCACTTGGAAAACTAGAAGAAGCTTTCTGAATGAATGGGAGAAGACGCAGAAGCCTTCTGTCATGAGACAGAAGCTGCTTATCAGAAGCTTTCAGAAAAAGAGTGAAAGTAATTGGGATGCTTTACATGCACCGATGAGCCCTGTAACCAGCTGAGGCCTCTCAGGCCTGATCAGATGGGGAGCAGTCCCAGGTTTCCATGACTGCGTGTAGGTTTATGCATGTTGGTGACCTGAGTGCCTGGTTGATGGAGGAAGAGATAGGTGGGTGGGGTGTTGCAGCACCCCTGCGGTCATAAGGGCAGAATTGGACTGACAAGCACCCAAATTTTCATCACATCACTGTAAGGGTATTACAGTAGCCTTAAATTTGGCCAGAGAAACTGTTACAATTTTGAATGATTGCTGAACGAGGACTGCCTGTACTTGGTATTGTCCAGGAACTTAGGAAAAACAATTTTTCGGCATTGGGTTAATTTGTAACTAGAGATCTAGAATTCTAAATCCTGGAATTTCATATGTTCCTACCACTATTGTGCTAAGTATCCCATCTAAAAGGTTTATGTAAAAATGTTAAACGTGACTTGCAGATTGTCTTCCTTACAATACATTAGTCTCACCATTTCAGAAGCTTTTTGCAGCTCATTGGTGAATATAGCATATTTCTTCTTCATTGTACATCTTCATTTCCTCACTGTAGTATCTAATGGGATGAATCATTCTCCCCCTACTTTGAATGGAGCTCCTTCACCCCCCCAGAGGTTCAGCAATGGTCCTGCATCGTCTTCCTCATCTTCACTGACGAATCAACAGCTCCCAGCTACCTGTGGGGCTCGTCAGCTGAGCAAACTGAAACGCTTTCTTACCACCCTTCAGCAGTTTGGCAATGATATTTCACCAGAAATTGGAGAAAAGGTCCGGACTCTTGTTTTGGCATTAGTGGTGAGTATTAAAACACCAAAGTCAGCCAAAACTGCAGGAACAGTGGATTTACATTTGGTTATGACCGTGTTTGTCAACCTCAGCTACTTTAACATGGAGAGACTGCAACTCCCAGAATTGTTAGCCAGCAGGCTAACTGGGAATTCTGGGAGTTGAAGTCCACACATCTTAAAGTAGTTGAGGTTGTCAAACACTAGATTATGGCATTAGGGTTGGTAGGAAATTACTGTTGTTTATTTATATTACCAACTCTGCTCTATTATTTATCTTTGCAATTTTGAGATGTTCGGTTTCCAATAACTGCTGTTAATCATTTAGAGCATGGTGAAACCTGGGTTTGCAGCAATATAGTGCCAGCAGGAGGATCCGATTGCTAAAAAATACTAATGACTCTTGGCTTGCATTCATAAAATCATAATGTCCAGATCTGTATTGTGCTGATAGACTCTTGCATTTGGACCCCAGTAATCCAAATCACTGTAACTAATCATAGTTCAGGTGTCATGTTTAAAGATAGACATTAACAAATTGCAGTATGTCTAGAAAATTGTAATGGAATGAGAGTAAACTGGAAAACAAGACTTATGAGAATTATAGAAAGAGCAAAGTATATTCAGCCTGTAAGAGAGAAGATAAAGGACAAATTCGATAGTTAAAAAAAATCTAAAAGATGAAAATGGAACAGATTTGCTTTATTCTCTGATACTTCAGAGGGCAGGTTTAGAAATTGCAAAGTAGCAGATTTTAGTTAAGCATTAGGATAAGGTGTTTTTTTTTAATGATATTTTTTTTATTAAGGTTGCAGAATAGGAAGTTTCCCTTTGTAGGAAGTATTAAAGGCAGAGGTCAGACTTATCCATTTGTCAGGAAATAGTATGGTTGTATCTAATTTTGAGAAGTAAGTTGGTCTAGATCCCCATAATTTACTTGGCAGCCTTGTGATTCTGTCTTTAGTTTCTACTTTTTACCCAAAGTCAGATGATTTTTAAAAAAATCCTGACTTTAAGTATAATTTGTATTTTCAGATGAAAATGTTTTGTTACTTAACAATGATGGGATGATAAAGATTGCTAGTTCTTCCATGGAATATGTAAAGCCAGCTTCTCATGCAAATATAGGTTCAGGAAAATAAATTTAAATACATGGATTTAAATACATGGGGACTATAGATAGATCTCGTTTAACAACTTTTCCGCGTAGCAATCGTTTGACATTACCATTGGAAAGGCAACTTTATGAGTGGTCCTAGCATTTATGACTGTTACAGCATCCCTGCAGTCATCTGATCAGGATTGGGGCACTTCAAGGATGATGGGCACTTACAACCATCATAGCGTTCCAGGTGATCACTATTTACTTGCTTTACAGTTGGCTTCCATCAAGCAGAGTGAATGGAGAAGTTGGCAGTATAATTGCAAGTCAAGATCATATGATGTTTTGTTTAATGACTGCAGCAGGAGTGAGGTCATAAGTCTATTATGGTCATGTGATGTTTTGATGAACAGAGTTATTTAATTCTGATTACTTTCTTTTTGCAGAATTCAACAGTGACAATAGAAGAATTTCATTGCAAGCTTCAGGAAGCTACTAATTTCCCTTTGCGTCCATTTGTAATTCCATTCTTAAAGGTAATTATTGTACCCTGTTGGTAAGATTTCATGAGACATTAGACTAGATGACCTCCAAGGTCCCTTCTGACATTATTATTATTATTATTAATAATAATAATAATAATAATAATAATCTCCCAAAGGATGTTAATGTACAGCAGTAGCTTGCACTATACTTGTGGAATACACAGATTTCAATCTCTCACTCTCTCTCTCTCTCTCTCTCTCTCCCTCCCTCCCTCTCTCTCTTTCTCTCTCTCTCTCCCCTCTGTCTCTGTCTCTCTGACTCTCTCTCTCTCACACTCTCTCTCTCACACATACTCACACACACATTTGACCTTACTGACTTCAAGAGAATTTGTTTTAACAAGTAAAAAGGAAAATGTTTATGAGATCTGATTTTTTATAGCAAATCAAAACATAAGCTAAATAATTTATATTACTATATGTATTATATATTTTATTATGACTTAATAAGTGTTCCCCTAAGATTTGTTGTTGCTTGATTTGAGAAGATTTAAAATTGCAGAGATAATAAAACGAATAGTTCTGTTTGGCCACAATTTTATGTAACAAAAAAAGAAAGAAAGAAAATGTCCTCTGGATAGCCATTGCTAAAATGATAGGAAAGTGCTTTTTGCTCTGAGCCAGATTCTGTTCAGCTTAGTCAAAATCACTGACAGGAAGATTACAGTAGAAGCTGTAAACTAAATGTGTTAGACTACTCTAAATAATAACCTTCTAATGTGTTATAAAAAAAACTAGTGTTATAGAGGAAGCATTTGCAGAGATTGAATAAAGGTTTATATTTTAAAAAACTGATAGTTAATGAAAAAAGTGAGAATTGCCACATCCCCAGAAAGATTCAATAGAAAATATAAAAAGTCAGTTTCTTCTAGATCCCTAATATAAGGATAAAATAATTAGTTTCATTAAATCATTGAGCTTTATAAATAAATGAGAGAAACATGTGCAATAGCAACTGATAGTTGTGAAAGTTTGTTAGTATGTATCTACTTTTTGCCTACAATATTTCACCTGATGTCACTTTTTTATTTAGGTTAAGGAGTGGTAATGCATAGGTTTTCCTTTTTTCCCAATGTACAGATGCTTCCTATATATTGGAATATGGAATATTATTGCATGCTCAATACCAATTTGGGGCCTGGTTCCTTACTTCTTTCAGCATTGTTCTCACTTCTTATGGCTGAACATATAACTCTTCTGCATATTTCTCCTTTAAGGAAAGCAGAAAAGGAAAACAAACTTAAAATTCAGACTTTTCTTCTATCTGATAAGGTTGTTCATTGGAGCCTATTTTTTCATCTTCTCCAAGGGACAGAATACCTTGTTTATTTTTCCATTGAGCTATATGAGGTTTAGCCTCTTTCTTCAAAATGGTGATGTCTAGAACAGGACGACTGCTAATTATCACTCAGTTGATGACAAGTGGTTATCTATGCTAATGGAGTCATGTTATTTTGTCATAGTAGTCCATTTATAGCTGAATGTTATTTGTATTCCGAGAACCTCTGTTTCAAACACTTGACTTGCTGCTTTACCTAAAGAGTAACATCAACTTCTCCATAGCTTCAGAATCTAACTGTACCATTGTTTTATAGGCCAACCTTCCTCTCCTCCAGAGGGAATTGTTGCACTGTGCTAGAGCAGCCAAGCAAACCCCTTCTCAGTATTTGGCCCAACATGAGCATATTCTGCTGAATACAAACACAGCATCCCCTGCTGACTCTTCAGAATTGCTAATGGAAGTAAATGGAAATGGAAAGAGGCACAGTCCAGACAGGTAAGAGGGTTCAAATAAGTCAGAAATCTGCCACTGGAGATATAGAGGTATACAGAGACATTTGTTGAGATGAGATGAGTGGTTATAAAAATAAACAAATAAATAGTCCTCATGCCTTCTTTGAGAAGTTTGCTCTATGTTTTCTCTTAAAGCTTGTAACTGTATGTTTAGAAGTCCACTACTAGCCTGAAAGGGACTCAGACTAACTATTCTCTATCCTTTTCTGTTATCTTTTTTCCAGAAAAAGGAAGTAGTGAGATAGGAAAAACAATGGGAAGGGAAAAAAAATGCTTAAAGCTTAGTAAGAGTTGGAATTAAGATCTGGATATAAACCAAATGTCCCAATGAGACAATAGGATTTATAAGATGGGAAGAATGGAAATGAATATGTATGCAGAAGACATGCACTGAAACCCATTGAAAAAAAAAAAATAAGAGACCGAAAAATCCAGGTAGTAGTGAGGAAAAAGTTTATCAGGCCCAACATGTTTTGGATAGGCAGCTTTTTAGCTACCGGTAGATTATGGAAATGACTTTATCTACAAGACACCATATTGTCTGGAGGACATGAAACATAAAGGCATTTTATCTGCTCTGGCAAGAGGATTTTTCATCAGTATAAACATAGATTTCTATATACAGTTTTATAAAACCAAAACATCAATTTTAGATTACTACAATTAAACCAATTTATTTTAATTGATTTAATCGGTGGGCAAATGTGTCTATTTTAGTGTTTCACTTTAATTGTTGAATAGTATGAATATGTGTTAGTATTTTCCTGAGACTGTATGTTCTTTTTTTTGGAGGGGGGAATTTTTGAAATACCAGTACAAGAAATATATGTTAAGTATTATGTTAACTTTTTTCATTGTTAGTCATTGTAACCAAATAGCACCGAGTAGATAATTTTGACCCATTTGTTATAAACAGCCATCTCATAGTATACTGCACTAGTCAAACCACACTAGGAATATTTTATCCAGTTCTGGTCACCATGATACAAAGTAGATGTATCATGTGTCTAGAAAATGTGCAGAGAAGAGCAACAGAGATTATAAGAAGTCTGGTATATTTAGGCTAATGAAGAGAAGGTTCAGGGGTGACATGATAGCCATCTTTCAATACTTGGAGGGCTTTCACAGGGAAGAGGGGGTCTATTCTCCAAAACATCTGAGCATAGGACAAGGAGCAATGGGTAGAAGCTAATCAGAGAGAGATCCGACTTGGAATTAAGGAGAAACTTTCTGATAGTGAGAACAATTAGTTATTGAAGTAGCTTCCCTTCCAGAGTTGTGGGTTCTCCATCGCTGATGGTTTTCAGAAAAAGATGAACAACTATTTGTCCAGAATAGCATAAGGATTCCTGCCTAGTGTAGGCGGTTGAACTAGAGGTCCTCCAAGGTCCTTTCCAGCCCTATGATTCTGTGATATATTTTGTTCTGTATTACGCTTTTGAAAAGTCTGTCTTATCTGAAACATGTTGAAAAATGATTAATAAAATTTTTAATTACTGTCCCTTTGGACTTTTTTTTCAACTCCCCGTTTTTACCAGTGCTTGGAAGGGATTGGGCATATCAGACACAACAAAAGAGGCTTTGTAGTAATATGGGGGAGCTTTGCACATCTTCTTTTTCAGATAAGTCTTCAGAAAAGTTGTTTAATAGGAAGAGTTTTTTTATCCCCCCCCCCCGCCTGCCCCGCATTTAGCACTTTTTATCTTTGCATGGGTAATAATGAAGAGGCTATTCAGGTGATTTTAGAAAAACAAATGCTGGCAATCGGCAAATACTCTGTGGGAACTGAATTCAATTCTGCAAGATGAAAGAAAAGGGTACCTCATAATTTACCACCCTCCTGATTCCAACAAGAAATTACATAAAAATGTAGTAATTATATTTTGTGTTGGCTTTACACACCTTCAGAATGATTGGAAATGCTGAACACAATTGATTATTATTGTCTGTATGCTATCATGATACTATTAGGGCATTGTTTTTCAAACTTGGCCACTTTATCATGTGGGAACATCAACTCCCAGAATTCCTCAACCAGCATAATGAAGTCCACACATCTTAAAGTAGCCAAGTATGAAAAACACTATTTGTATGTCATACAAATAGTGGATGTCATATTTTTGTATGTCATCAATATATGGGAACTTTCTATTTTTCTTCTTTTACTGAGTTTGTGCCTTGTTACTAGTTTTCTTACTTGCGTCATGGGCAATATATGAACCTCTCCAAATGCACAGAATAATGTAATAATTCCCTGGATGCTAATGGACATCTTTCTTTCTTGTCTTGCTTACAGAAGGGAAGAGAATAACTTTGAGAGAGAATCGATCCCTTCAGAGCCTCCTGCCAAAAGAGTTTGCACCATTAGCCCAGCACCTCGACACAGTCCATCCCTCATGCTGCCTATTATTAACCCAGCTGGGCAATTTCATCCTACACCTCCTCCACTCCAGCATTATACCTTAGAAGACATTGCAACATCCCATTTGTATAGAGATGCAAGCAAGATGCTGGAACACAGGGATTTGCGAGAAAGACATAGTATAGGTAATGAGATTTTGTCCAGCAAGACAGAGATGCCTATATTTTCCAATGTACTGTATTTCCAATCCAAATGCAGTTTTGTAATACCTTGGTTAGACCACACTTGGAGTTTTGTTTTGATTGCCATGATATAAAAAAGATGTTGAGACTCTAGAACAGTGGTTCTCAACCTTTTTAATGCCACGACCCCCAACCGGTCGTAAGTCGAGGACTACTCAACCGGTCGTAAATCGAGGACTACTCAACTGCTGCAGCACCGTTTGCAGACTGGGGCTTTTGGCGGGCTCAGCAGGGCAGAGACAGCCTGGACAATTCCTATTGGCTTTTGAAAGCCAATAGAATTAGACTCTATTCAAGAGAATCTATTCTATTGGCTTTCAAAAGCCAGTAGAATAAAAGGGAGTAGCACAGCTAAGGAAAAGGGAAAAAAAATGGCGGACTGCGTTGTTTGGCGACCCCCGTGAAATGGTCGTTTGACCCCAAATGGGGTCCCGACTCACAGGTTGAGAACCACTGCTCTAGAGAGAGTACAGAGAAGAGCAGAAAAGATTATTATAGGATTGGAGGTTAAAACATATAAAAATGGTTGCTGGAATTGGGTATGTCTAGTTTAATGAAAAGAAGGACTAGGAGTGACATCATAGTAGTGTTCCAATATCTAAGGGGCTGCCGCAAAGAAGAGGGGGTCAACCTATTCTCCAAAGCACCTGAAGGCAGGACAAGAAGCAAAGGATGGAAACTAATCAAGGAGAGAAGCAACCTAGAACTAAGGAGAAATTTTCTAACAGTTAGAACAATTAATCAGTGGAACAACCTGCCTCCAGAAGTTGTGAATGCTCCAACATTGGAAGTTTTAAAGAAGAGACTGGACAGCCATTTGTCTGAAATGGTATAGGGCTTCTTGCCTGAGCAAGGGTTAGACTAGAAGATCTTCAAGATCCCATCCAACTGTGTTATTCTATTGTTCTGTTATTCCTATTCTAATATAAGGTATAAATTTGACAAGTTTTAGCAGAGGCTAAGCATCTCAGGATGAAGAACTAAATATCATATGGAAATTTCTGTTATTTGATAGCAAAAGTTTTTTTTTAATCATTTGCTCACTATTACTGATCTTATAGATGCCTGAAGCTTTGTAAATCCAATATGTATTTATGCATTGTAAATATTAATATGTGTTGATAGAATAATCCCTTTTATCTCTTCCTCCTTTTGTATCACACTGTCAGGATTCTAGACTGTACAATTTTCAGATTGTAGTATTTCCTTACATTTCATAACAGGATTAAATGGAGGTTACCAGGATGAATTGGTGGATCATCGCCTAACAGAGAGGGAATGGGCTGATGAATGGAAGCATCTGGATCATGTAAGAGCCTGGGATAAAAATAAAATAATATGTACAAATATGACTCTCCTTCTGCTCTTCTAAGCATGGACTTCATAACATTCTATTAAATCAAAATGATGTACGTAGGAATCAATTTTATAATAACTCGGGTTGTTTGTCCATGTAACCTGATTAAATTCTTGCAGCGGCTCTTTAGCATCTTGGGCGGAGGTCCACCTTGTCACTTTCTACTTGACTTTTTTATTTGGAATTAAATCTGGATTCTTGATATACAAAGCATGTGTTGTATCTTTGAGTTATGGCAATATGCGTATGCACACAGCCAAATACATGTTTGAATGATTAGGTGATTGTTTAGTCTAGAGAGGATTTAATTTACTATTAGAGCACGTGTGGCACATATACATGATTCCAAGTCTGACTCCTGCATGCTGATTAGTTGTGTGTATGCGGGAGGGGGACACATTCACATGCCTTCTGAAATCCTGGGAGGGCCACTGCCAGTTAAATAGTGTAGTGGATTCAATGTATAATTTATTTGACTTTATATGCTTGATATGTGTGCTTTTCTTTGCAAAGTTTGCATACTGTTTTCTATAGGGAATGATGTTAATAGAGGAAAACAACCCCATATTGCTTTTCAAACAAGTGGTTAGACCTGAAACCACTCAATAGGGAACAGCTTTTCCTCTTAACAATTTGAATTAAAATCCACCTGCTAGAATTCCTAAATCGGTGTTTTCTTAAAGTGTAGGATTTCTGGGGGTCCCCCAAGACCCCCTTGGGTCTGCAGAATGAAAATTATTAGCCAGCTTAAATGGAAAAATAATACAATTGTAAAATCCCATCAAACAAACAGAAGTGAGGTCCCTTGCAACATTATCATCATCATTTGGCAGCAAATACAGAAATTTTAATTTTTAATATGGTAAATATCAGTGAATATAATCCATAAAACGAAACATCATTTTAGGTCATCCATAATTTTTAATGGGTAGGAAGGAGTCCTGACAGAAAAAAGTTTAAGAAACACTGTCCTAGATATTAATATTAGATGAGGGAATAGAAGGTGAAATCATCAAATTTGCAGATGACACTAAGCTGGCAGAAATAGCCAATACCCCAGAAGACAACTTGGGATCCAAAAAGATCTTGCCAAAATTGAACAATGGGCCCTATCCAATAAAATGACGTTTAATGTGGAGAAAAGCAAGGTTTTACACTTAGGCAGGAAAAACCAAAGGTACAAATACAGATTAGGCAAAACCTGACTCAAAAAGAATAACTCTAAGAGAGACCTTGAAGTGCTAGTGGACGATCACTTAAATATGAACCAGCAGTATATGGCAGCAGCCAAAAAAGCTAATATAATCCTTCATTGTATGAACAGAGGCATAGAATGAAAATTATGTGAAGTATTAGTACTGCTTTTTAAAACCTTGGTTAGAACACACCTAGATAGAATGCTGCATCCAGTGTTGGACACTACACTACAAAAATATGTTGAAACACAGGAAAAAGTGCAAAAAAGAGCAATAGGATGATTAACGGCCTGGAGACTAAAACAAGTTAAGACCTGGCTTTTCTGGCAGGCCTAGGGTTTATAAAATCTGACCCCTGGATGACTGTTCTTGTGCTGTTCGTTTTGTTATGTTTTATGTGTTTTTATTGTTAGCCGCCCAGAGTCCTCCGGGAGTGGGGCGGCTTATAAATTTTAAAAATAAATAAATAAATAAACATGAAGAACGGTTGCAGGAACTGGGTATGGCTAGTCTAGAGAAAAGAAGGACTAGAGGTGACATGATAGCAGTATTCAGTATTTGAGGGGCTGCCAGAAAGAAGAGGAAGGTTAACTTATTTTCCAAAGCCCCAGAAGGCAAGACAAGAAACAATAGATGGAAACTAATCAAGGAGAGAAGCAACCTGGAATTAAGGAGAAACTTCCTAACAGTGGGAACAATTAACTAGTGGAACAGCTTGCCTTCAAGAGTTATGGGTGCTTCATCACTGGAGGTTTTTAAGAAGCCTTAAAGAAGTGGACAGCCACTTAATGTCTCAAGTTGTATAGGGGCTCCTGCTTGAGCAGGGGATTGGACGAGCTCTATTCTGATTGATTGATATCATTTCGCCTATATTTCAAAAGCTCCTGTATAATATCTGTTTTATAGAGAAGATCCTAATTTTTAACACCATTTATTTTTATACAGACTAAATTAATTATTGGGAAGTAGCTCATCATGTATTCCAGAATCTGTTTCTGCAGGATAAATCTGTTACAGGAAAGTATAACCAAAACTCTTACATAAGCAACAGTGCAGGAAAACTCTGCTTACTGTCCTTTTGTGAAACCCACATGTATCAAAATGTGCTATTCTTTTCCCTGTTGAAGGCATTGAATTGTATTATGGAAATGGTAGAGAAGACCAGGCGTTCCATGGCTGTCCTCCGCCGTTGTCAAGAAGCTGACAGGGAAGAGCTCAATTACTGGAAAAGGCGATGCAGTGAGCCCACCGAGTCACGGAAAGGAGGGAGCGATTCAACTATGCGGCAACATAGTCCTGGGAGCTCAGACTCAATCAGCAGTGGTAGGCACTGACGTCCTGAATTTAAGGCAGTGGCTTTGTACTAGTATACTCTAGATCAATATTTCTCAACCTTGGCAATTTTAAGCTGGGGAATTCTGAGAGCTGACGTCCGTGTGACTTATAGTTGCCAAGGTTGAGAAACACTGATCTAGATTTTTGTCTGAATAAAAGAAGAATGAGGAAAAATAGTTTGAATTGCTTTACAGTGCTCCATCTGTAAGCTTAAGCACATTTAAAGAGTGCACTGTTACCAATAAATATAGAACAACGTAAAGTATCTTCAGGCTCCCTTGTTGGACTCTATCTCTTAAGATTAAAGAGCAGATCTCAAGCTAATGTTAACAAAACTTAATGCAAAAATAATGAATCAATTACTATTCTAAACTTCTTCAACATTCTGAAGTAGAATGAAATGCTCTACTCTCTCAACTACTATTGGTGATATTGATACAAAGTTTGGCTTCAATTTCACTTTCCCAAATTCAAATGGAAATTAGCCCTGGGAATTGAATCCAGAACTGACGTAATTTTTTTAAAAAAATCTTCTCCCCCTTCAGAATCAAAAACATAATGAATTTGGAAAGGATATTACCTGATATTTTGGGAAGGACACGGTACCTTATTTGTTTGTAATGTGCATCATTTGGATGCAACCTTCATCCAAAAAGATTTTCAAGGTGACCTGCATATAACCAGTGCCAGAGGCTAATAATCTAAAAAACAAGTTACAGCAAGGATGGGAACCAGCTAGTCTCAGAGGATGTTGTGATGGGAAGCAGCTCCTTTTCCCTCTGAATTGCTTCCAGCTGGCCATTTCTTTGAGATGAATACTTAGTTTAAATATTGGTGCCTGAATTTGCACGTTGCAGCAAGATTGGAAAGAAAAATAATAATGTGTGTTTCATATTCCAAGCTACTTCTTGGCTTTAGATTCAGAGTAAATTTTCCAATGATAAAAATGAACATTCTATTTTTTTTCCTCCCTGTTTAAAATGACAGTTAATTCTGTTGCCTGCCTTGAATACAGAAAGATAGGGTATACATTGAATAAATAAATAATCAAGCTGGCTTTGCAATATAAAGTTTTGTATTGGGCTTTTGTTTAGGTTTCCAAACCATTAACTGTAACAATTTTCAAGATGCTTCAGTTCCAGTTCTGCTATGTTTTTCTTTTTATCCTGCCGGTACTTTGACATAATTTTGCTAATGTTGAGTTTGGTCAGTGCAAGCTTGGGGATGTCTCTGAGCATTGAAGCATTTTGACTGTGTAAAAATCCACACTTAGGAAATGAGTTTGCTATTAGTATACATATTGAATGCATTCTATATTTGATGAATGGTAATCTGGAGGCCAGATTTTCTCTCAATAGCATCTGTGCAGTCCTTGAGCATAATGTATAGGTTTAATTGAACTTTTAAAATGCTTTGCTGAACTAAAAATCCATTCCATTCTTTCTACAACACTGAGCCAAATACCCTTCTTGATTGTCCTCATAGCATTTGGTAATGTATGTTGTTTCTGAATAAATGCCATTTCTCCTACTTTGGCTAATAAGGATTGAGAGGAGTTGAATTCTAATATTTTGAGCTACAGACAAAAAACACATTTCACAATGCTCTCTGTACTTTACACTATTTTTGAAGCTGGAACTTTCAAGTTTGTACAGGTAGTCCTCAACTATAACCACAATTAAGCCCAAAATTTCTTTTGCTAAATGAAACAGTTGTTAAGTGTGTTTTGTCTCATTTATGACTTTTCTTGCCACAATTGTTAAGTTATAGCATGATTGTTAAGTGAATCTGGTTTCCACACTGACTTTGCTTGTCAGAAGGTTGCAAAAGGTGCTCACATGACCCTTGGACACTGCAGCTGTCATAAATATGAATCAGTTGCCAAGTGTCTGAATTTTGATCACATGACCAGGGAGATGCTTCAGTGGTTGTAAGTGTGAAAAACAATCATACGTCGCTTTTTTCAATGCTCATATAATTTGAACTGTCATTAAATGAACAGTTGTAAGTCGACAATAAGGTACCTGTATTCTACCTTGTTATAGTATACAGGATCCCAGAGACAAGAAACAGGTGATAAATTAGAGATGAAGTATGCCTATATCTGAGTAAAACAAAAGCATTGTTTTCAACTTAAAATATGCAAAATTTTACATCTAATTACCATATTATTTTAGATTGAGAATATAATCTGTATGAAGCCTTGTGAATATTTCACTTTTCAACTTTAAAATAAAGCTGTCTAAGGTTCTTTGAAATACAAGACACCATTAGCAAAGATTACATTGTGGAATTTATATATGGAAATGAAATATGCTGTGCAATAAATTATGCAGTGATCTAAATTAAATTAAATTTAAAATTAAAAGTGATCATCTATCATTTTGATATTGTTGAACACTCTTTAATTGCAGACATCTCTTTTTGGTTTTAGCGATTAACCCATCCTGCTATATATATAATGTAGCCCTTGGCAGGGCTACATTTCCATGCTTAATATTATTGCCATTGTTCCTTTTGCAGAATCTCAGCGGGAGTTCAGTAGCAGGCCAGGAACAGCTGGTTATGTCACAGAAGAGATATGGAAAAAGGCTGGTAAGTAAGGAAGCTTGTTTCAATACATTGCTATGGGATGTTAATTTGTTTAGAAACATCTGGAAAGTCACAAATTCCTATCACTGACCTAAAGAGAAACTACCTGGAGAGCCACAGTAAATCAAAAATTCCAAATACATAGCTGAGGTGGATCTGAATTACAACTAAACAGGCAAGCAGCCGCTCTGAGAAGCTGGCATGAGGTCCAAGATCCATCTTAGCATGTTCAGACTAGAGATTTTCTGGGAAACTGATGGAAGTGGCAACATCCACTCTGTTTTAGAAAAGACATAGCAGAATTGTGAGGAAACAAACAGAAAAGGAAATGGTCCTGTCCTGAAGGGGCAAAGGAAAGAGGACATAAATAACAATCACAGAATCTTATTTCTTGATTTATGTTAAAGGTATAATTTTTCTAAACACTTTCTGCAAATGTCTTTGCAGCATTCTGTCAGGCAGTAAGGTATCTAGCTATGAATAAATGTTTCAAGTAATTAGAGGAACTTTGCTTTAAATTATATAAGTAATAGTTTCACAACTAATTCAGATATTAAAAAATATGTCTATGTATGACTGGTTTGCCTTTATCTTTTGGGGAAAGGTAGCTAAAGGTATATGTAATTAATGACTAAATCTTTAAATAAAAGAAAGCTCAGTTGAAACGAAGATACACAGTCCATAAGTAGTTATCTTGTCTTCAGAACAGGCCAGCAAATGTTTCTGTTGGATGATATTGCCCTCTGTGCATCCCCCACTCTTGATCAAAATGGTCTCAGGGTGTCTCTTACTGCTCTATTTCCCAAGTACACTCCCTTGTCACCTTGAGCACTCTGTTCATTTGGGAAAGCGACGCTTCCATTGATTGCAGGTCAACCCAGCCATTTATCAGCTATTTTGCAAAAGAAAGAACAAATTCCTGTTCAATTGGGTTAGCACTTATCATTTTTAAAGCTGCCCGTTTACCATGAGTAACTGTAAAACCACAATAATTCTACGAATGCTTGCAAATAGGAGGTTATAGTGGTACCTTGGAATTCAACTGCTTTAAAACTCATCCCATTTGGTATTTAACGCATTTTGACATGTAAATATTTTCCCGGTACTCATGGTTTGTTTGTTACTCAACACAAGCTAGAACTTGTTGGTCAGTTGCCTTGTGACTCACTACATTATTCCTTATGGAAAAATTTGTTTGGTACTCATCATTTTTTGTATTCATTGTGCCCCCTGGAACTAATTAACAATTAATTACTACTGTGTTATTTTTTCCCCCTGAGCTTAACTTCCTTGCCCTGTTTTACTTATTTTCCAGTAATCTGTGGTAAAAGGTTTTCACCTCAGTTTCCAAAAAGCTCAAACATTCTAAATAGTAGAATGAAGGTGATCATTACGTTCAGGAGTACTTCAGGGGAAACTAAAGTTATGTGTGACTTTGGCGTTTTATTACACAGTTGATTGGAAGTGTCTTCTTCAATTATTATATTTTATTTTCCATCATGAAGCTGTTTGATGTACAACCTTTGTTTTCTTTCAGAAGAAGCTGTGAATGAAGTCAAACGCCAGGCTATGTCTGAAGTCCAAAAAGCAGTAGCAGAGGCTGAGCAGAAGGCATTTGAAATGATTGCATCAGAAAGAGCTAGAATGGAGCAGACCATTGCTGATGCCAAACGCCAAGCTACAGAAGATGCTTTCCTAGTGATTAATGAGCAAGAAGAATCGACAGAGGTGAGGACTAAGCAGAAATACCTGGTGTTTTGGGAAGGTATAGGGAAACTCTTGGACATCACCTTAAAGATGGAAGTGACTTTATGTTGGTTTTGGGAGGTGGGGTTGTTTGTTTGTTTGTTTGTTTTAGAATTTCATCACTCCTTTTTATGTTATAAATTAATCTCAGTTATCTATGGGGATTCTCAGTCATGTAGGTGATGGTTGTTCCAAAAGTGCTTTTTTCAAAAGACAATTGGACTTTCTTTGTTTTTTCTTGAAGACATTTCACTTCTCATCTAAGTGGCTTTTTCAGTTCTGACTGAATGGTGGAGAATGGAAAGAATTATATTCCTTGCAGTTATCTGGAAAATGGAAGGAATATAAATCCTTGTTGGGGAGATTACAGTCTCAAAGCCAGTGTAAATAAATACTGTTCCAGCAGCTTTTTTTTTTTTTTTTTTTTTTTTGCACTCTGAATGATTTAACAATTTATCATTGTTAAAATCCACCTGGTAAAGGAAAACGTGCTCTTCAGAAATATGTTATTTGAGTCTGTTACATGGCTCACTAACGATTGCTAATTAAGTTATTCTTCTTAAATTTGTGCCAAGGAGAAACATTGTTGGAATTGCTATGAACACCTTCACTGAAATATAAATTCACAAATCTATGAATGTATCATATGACAGTTACAGCTAATATAATTATAGTTAGGTTGACATTTGATAGAATTTGGCAAACTATTCTATGTTATTCTGGACAACATTTGAATTTGATTATATAAGGAATTTTCTTACTACTGTAGCAGTATTGAAGCACTATCTTAATACCACCTCCCTCAAGGCCTTTTTTCTCCTTGAAATAATAAACCAACTTCAAACTGTTTGTCAGTATACTTAAAGGAGAAGTTTGTTCTTTGGTTTTCCAGAGCTGCTGGAATTGTGGCCGCAAAGCCAGTGAGACATGCAGTGGATGTAACATTGCTCGTTACTGTGGCTCCTTCTGCCAGCACAAAGATTGGGAGAGACATCATCGAATCTGTGGGCAAGGCCTGCACAGCCAAGTTAAGCCAGCGTCGTTATCAGCCAGTCGGTCTTCAGCAGCCACCCTCAATGTAGTTGATGGAATAGCAAGTCCAGCTCTGGAAAAAACATCCGCAACCACTTCTCGATCCTCCACTCCAGCTTCTGTAACAGCAGTAGATACAAATGCACTCTAAAAGGGAACTCTGCATTCAATACGTTTTTTGTTATTTTGTACTTTGGAAAACAGAAACCTCAATACATTATTAAAAAATTATATTCCCACACTTTGGAATTCAGGCTATTTGTTGGGGAGGGTGGCTTTGTACAGTGACATTTTTAGAAATCTGTGTTAGCCCTTCTAATTTGGGATCTCAGAATAATCTCAGTGTTTCCTGGAATATGCAGAATTTGTTTTAATGGAACTTTCTCAAAAGATACTCTATATCAGTGGTTCTCAACCTTTCTAATGCCGCGACCCCATAATACAGTTCCCCATGTTGTGGTGACCCCCAACCACTGATACATCACTGGGTGCCAGGGGCGTAGCCAAAGAAAAAGGGGAAAAAATGGCAGACAGCCTTGTTTGGTGACCCCCATGAAATGGTCGTTCGACCCCAAATGGGGTCCCGACCCACAGGTTGAGAACCACTGCTCTATATTGATATAATTTTAAGCTTCTAACTATCAAGTTGTTCTTCTATTTATCATGAAGCAAAGCTGCTTGGAAAGCCTTTTCTCTCCATCTAATATATCCATTCTTCCTCTGTATAATCTGAACAATTAAGTTTCCACTACCATCACCCATTGCTGTTTGAGTACCTCTAGGCTTTTTACATATTGTGACAGAATAAGTGGACCATTTCTTTATCAGGCAAAACTATGTAAATAAAATATAATATAAGCAGCCTGTTATTTTTACCTTTCATACTCTAGCATTGAAGATTTTTTTGTTTTCATTTTCATGTTTTCCATCATTCCTGAAAGGGACACATGACCGAAAGATGCTGTACTTGTGCTTTAAAAGGAAGATCCAAAACTTGTTCAACTCATTAGTTTTTCACTTACCAATTTTGGGAACTTATGGATACAAAGCAGAATACATATGAATTGGTTGGAGGGATTAAAATGTTCTATCTAAAATTTTTCCAGAACATCTTATTGGATCATTTAACTGATTGTTTATTTTATCATCCCAACTCTGTCACACATTCTTCTCTGCATAAATGTTGATGATTTTATATATTTTGTTTTAAAGGTGCATTAGTGAATAAATTAACTGCCACATACCACACATGACTCAAACAGTTATATCCTATATCCAGGCTTTCATGTTCAGGTATCCTCTAGGTACATTGATTTTCAGTTTTCATATTTCCCCAGATTAGATTGACATAATTGTCTATGGGATTTATGGACTTGAAATCAAATACCTATGGAGGGTGTTGTGTTGGAGAAATTAAATTTATTCTCTCAGAAGATGTTAGTAAAATTATAGAAGATTCATATCATTTAATAACATTCATGAACAGCCAAGGCTAATGAATTTAATTCTCTTTTTCTGTGAGCAAACTAAAATTATTGATTCTATTGAAGAATTTCATGTATTAAAGTATTATGGAATCTTTCCAAGATACTTCATGAATTCTGTAGGTTCCAAGTTTCCAAGATCTATCCACTGTGTCTTTATAATGTATCTAGTTCTTTTGCTGCATTTAAGAAGGATTTTTTGTGATTTTTCCATCTTAAACATGCCAGGTTGATCTTTATTCAAATAGATCGAGATCAGCGGAGAGTAGGCAAATCACAACACAGATGGAAAGCAAGTTTTGTTAGCTTTAAGATGCAAATTCCGAGTAAACGACTCAATATGGGGATGGTTGAAAAGAGTTATTCTCTTACAATTACCTCTAATATACATAGTTGCTTTTTGCCAACACTAACATCAGAAACTTGAGAGATATATTTATGCATCTAGTTCGAATCTCAGAGGAGTGGCTTCATAGAAAGGCTTTTATATTTGAAAAGTTATCAGAATTTATTCAGATTCATGTTTATGAAAATCCAGTACTCTGACTTCTAATCCGCTATTTGTGGTTTACCACAAACATCTGTTTTGCCTTACTCAGATATAGTAGTGTGTCTTAATATTAAATTGAGGGAATTAATATACAGTACAGAGGAAGAAGGCATTTATATATAAGTAAAGGCTTTATTCATATGATGCCAAAATCTCATGGTTTGATGTTATGTCTGAGCTAATCCATTGTAGCAAAATAATTTTTAGGGTATATTAGATACTCTAAAGTATTATTTGGTGCTTGCTTGTTTTTGTTTTGCAAATTCCTGTGTTGCATATTTCCATGAATGCATATGCATATGCATTGCTTGGAGAAAAATATTTGATTTATACCTGGAACTCATCCTTTAGTGATGATTTACCAAAGATGGTTTTTTTAAAATTCATGCTGTTTAAGAAAAATCAAAATCCAAGGTCATGATTTCATACATGTTCATAAATACATTTTTAGAGTTCATTTTAAGAAAAGGTTTGTAGTATTCCAAGGAACTATCAAGTTTGAACTGTTCCCAAGATTTTTCAGTGAATGTGAAAATATGAATTAAAGCTGTGGTGCTAACATTATTTACTTGTTCCAAAACTGATTGCCACCTAATTTTCTCCATAGAACAGAATGATACAAGATCAGTTCCAAAGAAAAGTATGAATGTGTGTTCGTCTGAGAGAGAGAAAGATTATATGTGTGTGTGAAAAAACGTTCATTGGCATTCTAAGAGTATATGTAAACAGACTGTCTTCCATAATTTAACATGCAACTACAATAGATTGATGTGTATTAAGTGAAAAATACATCAATGTACACAGGTTACATATTACCAGTCATAATTTTAAAATGATTTTTGAAAATGGAAATGAAAGATATGAAATGCTACTATGGGAATACTTTATGGATCTTGTTTTCTATATATTTTTGTCATTGATTCTATATTAGGAATTTTTGTTACCAATTTCATGTGCATAACTTATTTAATATACTGTATAAAAGAACCCAAACTGTTACAGATGTATTTAGTTTGTTCTACTCATAGTAGTCAATAAAGACTATGTTCACCTTATAATACTTTGACTTACCTTGCTTTATAGAATATAATTTCAGCTAAAGGCTGGATTGACACATTATTAATATTATTTAAATTCTATCCCACTTTTTCTCTAGGAAATCAAGATAACTTACATGAGGGTCTTATTTTGTTTCATCCTCGTAAGCATCCTGTAAGGAGTTTGAGCAGAGAATGGTCTAACATCTCAGTCAACTTCCATTGTTGAAGCTAGATTTGAACTTGAGTCCCTCTGATATTATTCCAACACCTTAACTACTACACTACAGTGGCACTTCATAAGCAGGAGCTATGCCTTGGTTTTGGATGGCATGTTGTGTGAATCCAGTCACTGGTTCGTAAACCATGCTTGAAGCTTTGTGAATCATGTAAATAAGTCACAGTGGATTCAACAAACCAGGATTTAAAAAACCAGTATAATTTAAACCTAACCAATAACAACTATTACGATTCTGTATGCAAAAAAATGCAGATTACTGCATGTAAAAATCAGTCTAGCATAATTACTTTTTAATGTCTGAAAGTATGTTTATTGCTGTTATGTTTTCCAAGCCAAGTTTGAAAGAATAGATTATGAGGTTTCATAAATCAGGAAGAAAAACTAGAAATATCCACTGAGAACAGAATTTTAACAGAGTACAACAAACCCTCAGTATAATGTGAAAAAATGCAGACTAAGATTTATGAAAGAGATGAAAATGTATTTATTGTTTTAAACTTAAAATATAACCCTATGTAGAACATCCCCAGATTTATGTCTGTAATTGATTACAGGCATTTTGAGTAGACTCTTGATTAAGAAATTATCTTTGGAACAATTTTAGATAACTAATGCTGATTCTAAAGTAACACATGTAAATTGAGTCCAAGCAAAATAGTACTTGCATATATTTGAATAGACATTTATCCTTGCACACAGAAAACTCAAGATGCGTTTAATCTTCACATTATGGCTTCATCATGGATAGACTATATGATTTAACTGTCTAGATATAGTATTATGATGTGCCTTCAATATTAATAAAATGCTTTATTGCACATTTTATTTGACAATGTTTCAAGAATGAATCTTTAGGTGGGCATAGAGAGGAAAGAAAGTGTGTAAATTGCCTGATTTAACATTGATTTAAATAATGTAATAATAATCCAGGAGTATTTAAGAACTCTTAAAGGAATCTTTTAAAAGCTCATAATTAGGCAAGTTTTTTGACCCAGTAGCACAGTTGAAATTTGGAAAGTTACGGGTGCTTTTACAAAAGAATATGTTCAGTGAAAGAATCTTTGTTAATGGAAGACAAACAAATTATCCTCAGCCACGCCTTTTTTTTTTTTAGACAGATGGTCACAATTCAAAGCAAATCTAGATGGATGGGAGGGAGGGAGGGAGGGAAGGAGGGAGGAAGAATACGAATACCATTTGCAATATGCAACTCCTATGTAATTTTTATTTCAAAATTTTGTTTAAATAATTTGGAGAATGGATCACAGTGCCAAAGGTCTGTGGGCATAGGTATGGGCATATTCGTGCCCAGATGTGTCCCAAAATTAGTGCCTTAATGTGGGCATTTAATGTCCTGGAAATCATAAGTGTATACCTGTCTACTCTGTAAAGGGTAAGAAGGCACAGAATCTCTTTGATCTTGAGTAATAATCAATGGCATTGGTACACTAGGTTATATGCTCCCGGCTGTGGGAACCTTTCACACATGTTGAGAATTTAGGATTCAAAATTACCAGGCAGTAGTGCAGTTCCCAGAATTCATAACTTCTTGTGTGAATTTTGGGATTAAAGTCCCATCACTTCTACATAGCATCAAACTCCAGAAGGCAAGGACATTCTCATTGGTAATCTCCAATATTCCATGTATAATGTTTGAGATTAACAGAAGAAAGACAGAAAATAAAAGTACCATTTTTGGATTGCAACTGCGTATACTTACTACATAAAGTCCAGAGTATTCTTTAAAGTATATTAAACTCAGAAAATAAAGTGACAAAACAATTAAATATCTTTAGTACATGGAAAGATAAAGCAATTGTAGCCTTCAGCTTAAATGAAAAATAAAAAGCAAAATGAAAGAGTAAGGTTTGTAAGTGCATAAATGGCAAAGAAATCTTACAGAATTCATAATGTTCTGTACATGCATAAATAAGTCATTCCACATACACATACATCACCACTTGTCATCAGCTGAAAATGTTTTGGCAACCCTGCTTTTTTTTTCTGGCTTGGCTAAGATAGCTTTAAAAGCATATTCATGGCCATTTCTTGTAGAATGTGCTTATCATCTGGTTTTAACCATAAATGGAAGAGGGTTTTTTTTGCTTCAGAGAGGCATGCTTTTACAGAATATGTGGCTGGAAAAGGATCCCATAATGAAATAAAGCCACAGGCATCTGCACAAGGGGAAAGTTAAAAAAAAAAAGTATGCTGTGATGTGACCCCCACCCCAACCTGTGAGTGATGTGATAAAAATACAAAATGGCAAAGCTTGAATAATGATACCATAACACACATTTCATATTGGCATATTTTATGAGTTTAGGATCACATGACTACATTTAAGCCATTCTTACCTGCATACTGTAATTTAGCAGCATCTAGATCTTCAATCTTGATCTGATCAGAAAGCTCCTTCCCATAATTATTGAAAAAGTTAATCTACTATGCTGAACAAAATGTCTAATACTATAACAATACTTGGGGTTTCAGCAGTATCTGGAAGCAATTTGCATTATAATATAGCAAAATCACCTTTGGCTTTCTATCTGAGCCTCTCTTCTGTCTAGTGCAGGGGTAGTCAACCTTGGCTCTTTTATGACTCGTGGACTTCAACTCCCAGACAGGCTCAGGAATTCTGGGAGTTGAAGTCCACGAGTCATAAAAGAGCCAAGGTTGACTACCCCTGGTCTAGTGAATATTCTTTTGTTGGATGAAGATGAGATGCTAGGAAACTTTTAGAAACCTTTGTCCATCTCAAAGTCAAAATCACTTAATATCATATCCCATTTGTACCACAGTGTGGCGTCTGAAGTCCATCTTGAGAGAACTTTTAAGGCTTTTGTTTGTTAGATAATTATTTCTCTTTTTCTCTGAGTGTGTACTTAATTTCCATATCTCTTGATAGCTCAGAGAAAAGCCAAAATGACATTTGACTAAAAGAATTGCTTTTAGTATCTAAAACTTGGCATTGTAAAATGTGGAACTTCATAGGCAACAGACTACTTATTTAGAATCTGACTGGAAAAAATGAAAATGTTTAAAATTGAAATATTACTAATTTTATAATAATCTCTGTATTTGTACATATATATAATTCATTCAGAAAGACATATACAAGAAGAAACCAATGCATTTTTTTTAAAAAAAATCCAGTATCATAAAAAATTCCATTGAAAATTTTAAAAAAATCATTACCCTTTTTCAATATCAAATAGGGAGCCTAGTTAAAACACTAAGCAGGACATCACCTTTGCAGCGTGCATTCTCATTTCATTTTTAAAAACTTTCTTGCTATTTGAGATTTTTTTCAGAAATCCCAGCCTGATAAAAATTATAGAGATTCAATAAACTGCTCGCTTCATTTCCTCAATCAAATGCAACCCTCTTAAATATGCATTTGTTAACGACCTTTCATTAATTTGCTGATTGCTAAATATTAGTTATTATTATTAATTAGTAGAATTTCAGTAGAGCCTAGAGACTACTCAAAGAGATTCAAGTTTTTTTACAGTTTTAACTTGCAGATGAAGAAAGATGTTAGCAGACTGATTAAACTTTTTTGTTCTAGTAATCACACATTGCGATCCACAGCACAGCAAAATTTAAAAAGAAGGGCAATTCTGGAATACTCTATTCACTGGAATACTCTGTTCTCTGTTCACCCCTTTGTTCTTTTAATAAATATCTTAAAAACGGCAGCAATTTAATGATTATTGTTACTATGGTATATTTAAATAATAAAAGTTAAAATTTATCAGGCCAGTACAATCAATTTCAGAAACCTTATGACAAGCTAAGATTGCCCATCCATTTAATCTGTGGCTTGCTTAATATGATTTGTAGATTAAGCCATATCTGGTCAACATGTTTCACTAGCCCAAACCATGGCTTCAGATCCACAATGCGTAAGTTCACATGAAACAACCCAACCCTAAGATGGCTTAGTGCAATATACTAATCCACTATGCACTAATCTGGATCCTTATTTTTTTTGGGGATAACAATTTTTTAATAATGTTTTTTACTTTCTTAAATAAAGACATTTCAGGCAGCTGATGTTTGTCAATTTCATTGTTTTAAAGATCATGAGACATTAACTTGTGATTAATTGAATTAAGCCTGGATTCATACAACTCATTGAACCATAGGGCTAGATTTGCATAAACATTGAACCACAATCAGCCAAATTTTAGTTTATTCAGTCATTCTTTTTTCATTTGATAATAAATAATTCCGGGCTACAAAAGTCTGGATGATCAATAAATAAAAGAAAAGAGATAAAAAACAAATTCTAAATCTTTGTTGCCATTTAAAGATCATCTGCCCAGATCTAGCAGTCATAGAATAAATAATTAAATCAGGATATAAAAAATATCTCCTTCATTTATGGTAATGAAAATGTGACTGTAAATTATCTTTGGAGCTGTGGAGTATGTCCTACTGAACTACTGATTATCAGAATTTATTACACATCTCTGAAAAAATTAAGTTGCCACCTGCCTGATTCAGATTTAAGGAATAAATAACATGTCTTTTGATTACATAAATATTAGATTCTAGTAAAGCATATTTGACATTATTTGATGATTAGATATTTATCTTAGAGGAACTCCAGCTTTTTTCAAGAAATCTTTCTCAAATTGTGTTGGGTAGTCAGAATTCCACAGAAAACAAGTCTTTGATATGCTTTTTATTTATATAAAAATTAGCAGCCTGAGATAAACATATAACCAGGTGCAATTTTTTCTGAGCAATTTTAAATTCAGCACAAGTCAAAAT